CCAATTTTCATACAAATATTAACGGTACTTCAGAAATTATTTGGAAAAAATCGTAATTAAAATGAAATTTTTACACCCTGTATCTCCGAAACTAGACATTTTAGAACATACATTTATACGAACTTTTTTACTTATTTTTAATTGCAGAATATGCTGCCGAAATCGCAGAATATGCTTTCCGGAATACAGTTCGGACCACCTTGTATACAAAAATGGCAAAATTAAATTAACCAAACTCAAATAGGCGTTAGATTGCTGTATTTATCCTGCCCTATTTAAAATTAATGACATTTAAACTAATTCCTAAAGCAGGATATATCATCGTTCCTTTTCAAACCGTAATCCATTATGCAATGGACAGGTTCAATCACCCGTATCGGACCCCAACTCGGGGCTGGGGGGATTGTTTGAAATCGAGTTAAAAAACTTTCCGGAAAAAGTTTCAAATAAAACGAGCGACCTGAAGCGCTACTTTGTTCCAAAATATTTGGTGCAACGTTGCATTAAAAGTTTATGTGGAAAGAGTTTAAAATCTTTTATATAACATTAGATATATTAAAATGGATTACACCTTGATGGTTGTTTTTCCAATTTAAAGAATTAGAAAAAATTATTTGTATTATAGTCGAATTTCAGAAGATTAGCAGAGGAAGACTTTCAGACGATTAATATCTGGTTTCCACATACTGGGGACAGATTACAAATAACCAATAATCATGTAATACCTGAATGTTATTTTATAAAATACTAGCATGTACCCGCGACTTCGTTCACGTCGAATTAATCATTTGTAATTTGTAATGGTGACATGATAAAGCAAAGCAAGAGTTTCCATTAACATACAAACTGGAGCAGAATCGTGGTTAATCAATTACCTAATTTTTTGGAACACCCTGTATGATTTTTTACAAAAATTTCAAAATATGTAAAAAAACAAAATAAATTATACGTGTCCAAGCGTTTTCCCGAAAGACTAACCGTTTTTTAAATAACAAATATTGTAATATTTGAGGGGCGTTTTCACCCTGTTGGAATTTGAGATTCGAGAAACCCCTCCTTATCGAACCTCTACACCCCACAGTCAATCCGTTTGCCAAAATCAGCTTTAAACGTCAAGCAGTTTAAGCAGAATCGTGATTACTCAATGGTTCTATTTTATGAAACACCTTGTATAAATTTTTAAAAAATTTTAAAATATGTAAAACAACAAAATAAAATATACGTGTTTAAGAGTTTTTCCGAAAAACTCACCGGATTTTAAATAAAATATATTCTTATATTTGAGGGGTGGTTTCACCCCCTTAGAATTCGAGTTTGGAAAAATCCCCTCTTATCGAACCTCTACACGCTAAAGTCAATCCGTTTTCCAAAAATTAGCTTTTTACGTCAAGCGCTTTAAGCATGATCGTGATTAATCAATGACCAGATTTTTCGAAACACCCTGTATACATTTTTAAAAATCTTAAAATATGTAAAAAAACAAAATAAAATATACGTGTTCAAGCGTTTTTTCGGAAACTTGATCGTTTTTTAAATAAAAAATATGGTAATACTTGCGGGGTGGTTTCACCCCCTTGGAACTGGGATTTCGAAAAATCCTTCTTATCGAACCACTACACCTTAGAATCAACCTGTATGCCAAAATTGAGCTTCTTACGTTGAGTGGTTTGAGCAGGATCGTGATTAATCAGTGAGTCACTTAAGAATTTTATATATTAGTATAGATTATTTGAGGGGCGTTTTCACCCTCTTGGAATTTGAGATTGGAGAAACCCCTTCTTATCGAACCTCTACACCCCACAGTCAATCCGTTTGCCAAAAATCAGCTTTAAACGTCAAGCAGTTTAAGCAGAATCGTGATTACTCAATGACCATATTTTATGAAACACCCTGTATACATTTTTTAAAAATCTTAAAATATGTAAAACAACAAAATAAAATAAACGTGTTTAAGAGTTTTTCGGAAAAACTCACCGGTTTTTAAATAAAAAATATTCTAATATTTAAGGGGTGGTTTCACCCCCTTAGAATTCGAGTTTCGAAAAATCCTTTCTTATCGAACCTCTACACCCTAAAGTCAATCCGTTTTTCAAAAATCAGCTTTTTAAGTCAAGCGCTTTATGCAGGATCGTGATTAATCATTGACCAGATTTTTCGAAACACCCTGTATACATTTTTAAAAAATCTTAAAATATGTAAAAAAAGAAAATAAAATATACGTGTTTAAGCGTTTTTTCGGAAACTTGACCGTTTTTTAAATAAAAAATATTGTAATATTCCACCCCCCTTTTTACCCCCTTAGGGGATGAATTTTAAAAAATCCTTTCTTATCTCACGTAAACATCATAAAAGGAACCCCTGTGCAAAATTTCAGCTTTCTAGGGTCAAGGGTTTGGTCTGGGCGTTGATGAGTCAGTATCAGTCAGGACAGTCAGATTTATATATATAGATTTAGGGATTACAATTGACAAATATGCCACAGAACATTATACAGGGTGGTCCGAATTATATTCTGGAAACTTAGGCAGCATATTCTGCAGATAAAAATAAGTAAAAAAGTTCGTATAAATGTATGTCCTAAAATGCTTAGTTTCGGAGATACAGGGTTTCATTTTTATTTCGATTTTTTCTAAATAATTTATGATGTAACGTCAATATTTGGATGAAAATTGGTATTGGAATTTTTTTGACATGAGAAATTGGATTTTGATGTCAATATGACTACTGCTTGTAGAAGGCGCCACCTACATATTTTTTAACTGGTTTGAAGAGTAATAACTTTTCGTTCGTACCTGTATAAAACTACTGAGTAAAAAAATATACATTTAAGACGTTTTTTACGGAAAAAAAGTCTCTTGGTGAAAATCGCTACGAGTAATGGTTCTCGAGATAGTTGGAATCGAAATTATCAATATCTACCATCATTGACATAAATTAAACATATTGACTAAATAGTTATTAGACTTCAACAAAAATCGTTTTATCTTTTATATATGATAAATTTGAAAATATAAAAATTTCCCAAATTTATTATTTCAGTCAAGTAACTATCTCTACTCAACATGTTTATTTTTTCTCAATAATGATATGTATTGACTATTTCCATTCTAAATATATTGAGGACTGTTTGCTCGTAGCGATTTTTACCTAGAGACATTTTTGACGTAAAAAGTCACGGAAATGTATATTTTTTCACTCAGTAGTTTTATGCAAGTACGGACGAAAATTTATTACTCTTCAAAAGAGTGAAAATACATGTAGGTGGCGTCCTCTACAAATAGGAGAATTGACGTCAAAATCAAATTTTTCATGTCAAAAATCTCCCAGACACCAATTTTCTTCCAAATATTAACGTTACTTCAGAAATTATTTGGAAAAAATCGAAATAAAAATGAAATTTCTACACCCTGTATCTCCAAAACTAAGCATTTTAGGACATACATTTATACAATTTTTTTACTTCATTTTATCTGCAGTTTGGATCGCCCTGTATAATGTTAGTAGTTATCCTATTATATTAGGGTTATGATGTTATATTACACTATGTTATATAGTCTGTGAAACGAATAACTTTGAATTTGACAGATCTCACGGGCTTTTCTAGTGTTAATTTTATTAAGTTAGCAACTTGAGACCATGCTGACGCAATGCCGTCTCTAATAGAACAGCCTCGGAGCGAGATTTATGACGTCACGCTAACATAATTATTCCTTATATTTGACTATGGCTGAAATCGTACTCCATAGTCAATGTAGATAGTTTTAGTGTTAAGAATAATAATTTTAAAAAAATATGTGGTTATCTTTTATGTGGTTATCTTTTGACAAGTTTTAATATTAGTTTATTAATTGCAGTAAACATTATGTGGTTTGGTTTGGTGTGAATATTTTATATGCAATTTTTTGGATTATATTCGACACTATATTTTTATATGACACAACACTGATGAAGGCTATAATGTTAGCCGAAACGTTTTTTTTTAAACCAAAAAAATAATGAAAAACCTAATAAAATCAGCGTTTTTCGCGAACCTAAATCCCAAGAAAATCAAAAATTTTAGAATAATTTTACATTATAAAATGACAGCGATCTTTATTTCATAGCCATCGCTGACGCATTTTTTTCTATGATATTGTATTATTTGCAAATATAATTTTTCTTTGATGAACATTGATACTTGCAAAATATATGTACATATAAATTTTGTGCATGCAAATAATAATACATCACTATATACGTATATGTTGAATGTTTTTTGTTAAATTAGATCGATTTTCAAGCCCCAAAATTTAAAATATATTTTACATTTTACACATTATCTTATGTACATATTCATTATATGTATATTGTAAAACATTTGCTGCATTTGTATGGTTCATAGTTTATTTGCCAAAGTATTTATTACTATAAATAGGTATATATTATATTTATTAACTGTATATTATGTATATTTCATGTAAACTATATCATTTTTAAAATACAAACCAAAAATACGAGGAATAATTATGTTTTCCATGTATTCTACAACATATTTATTAATCCGTATCTAATTAGCGTGACGTCATAAATCTCGCTCCGAGGCTGTTCTATTACAGACGGAATTGGGCTGATATTTAGAAATGTCAAAAGCTGATGACATTTTACTTTTGACAATTATGCCATTTTGTGTTGATTTTTGCAAGAAGAGGAAGAACTGTCACTTGTTTTATTATTTTCCTTTTCTATTTCACGTAAGTAAAAAGAGTTACCTATCTGATTCGTTCAGGCACTCAATTTAAAGAATACTTAAAGAATATCAGTAACTTTTTTGATAGAGGGATTTTATATTTGCCGTGTTGGTAAAAAATAACGGTCAAAATTCAAAGTTATTCATTTTATAGACTATATCTAGTTAATTGAAGAGAAAATGTAACGGTACTTTAATAAAGGTTATTATTATGATTACATCTATTATTGTTACTGTTATTTGAGTGTACAAAACAAGAATACTAATTACATACCTTTGCATCAGACACGAATGGTTGACCTCCAACTGCAGAGATCAAGGTAATACCAGTAATACACAACCATAAAAAAGAAGTTCCTTTGTGCCTAGTCATCTGAAAAAAAATAAAAAGTATATTTCACATAACATCTTGAACTATAATCGAAATATAATTTAAGAAACAAAATCACAGGTTCAACAATTATTGGAAATATGTTACTAAATCTATACTAATATATAAAATCCTTAAGTGACTAACTCACTGATTAATTACGATCCTGCTTAAACCACTCAACGTAATGGTACGTATATATACTATATATATACGCGCGGCACCGATTCGCCTCTATTGGTACGTGTTTTCAAGTTGCGCGCGCTCTGCGCGCAAACAACTAGCGGCGAACCATCTCCAGTCGGTTTTTCGACGCTCCGCTTTCTATGTTCGTTGTTCAATTGGGACAGCCAGTGAAGACACCGCGCGCATTTATCATTGAGTATGTATATTTTCTTTGAATATTGTTTATTAATGGAGTGTTTAAAGAGTCGCACTACTCATCACTAAAATTACGTAGTTCTTCTCGGACGATAGAGACATGATTGACGATGAAACGAACGTTCGCGGGATTTCTATGGATCGGGGAATGTTCGCTAAAACAATAAAAGTAACGCGCGGACAACGCTCTGCGCGCGCGCATCAATGTATACGTACCATAAGAAGCTCAATTTTGGAATACAGGTTGATTCTAGAGTGTAGAGGTTTGATAAGAAGGGATTTTTCGAAATTCCAAGGGGGTGAAACCACCCCTCAAATATTAAAATATTTTTTATTTAAAAAACGGTCAAGTTACCGAAAAAACGCTTAAACACGTATATTTTATTTTGTTTTATTACATATTTTAAGATTTTTTAAAAATGTATACAGGGTGTTTCAAAAAATCTGGTCATTGATTAACCACGATCCTGCTTAAAGCGCTTGACGTAAAAAGCTGATTTTTGGAAAACGGATTGACTTTAGGGTGTAGAGGTTCGATAAGGAGGGATTTTTCGAAACTCGAGTTCTAAGGGGGTGAAACTACCCCTCAAATATAAGAATATTTTTTATTTAAAAACCGGTCAGTTTTTCTGAAAAACTCTTAAACACGTATATTTTATTTTATTGTTTTACATATTTTAGATTTTTTTAAAATTTATACAGGGTGTTTCATAAAATATGACCATTGACTAATCACGATTCTGCTTTTTTGCCAAACGGATTGACTGTGGGGTGTATAGGTTCGATAAGGAGGGGTTTCTCGAACCTCATATTTCAAGAGGGTGAAAACGCCCCTCAAATATTACAATATTTATTTTGTTATTTAAAAAACGGTTAGTCTTTCGGGAAAACGCTTGGACACGCATATGTTGTTTTTTTTTACATATTTTGAAATTTTTTAAAAAATTATACAGGGTGTTCCAAAAAGTTGGGTAATTGATTAACCACGATTCTACTTAAACTGCTTGACGTAAAAAGCTTATTTTTGGCAAACGGATTTTTCGAAAGTCAAATTCCAACGAGATGAAACTACCCCTCAAATATTACCAAGTTATATAATAATATCGCCACATTGTTTTTTCTCATGCTGACATAAATGTGAGAAAATTTTATCCAGCTTGTATGTTAATGGAAATTCTTGCTTTGCTTTATCATCACCATTATAAACGATTAATTCGACGCGAACGAAGTCGCGGGTATACGCTAGTATAATTTATAAAACAACAATTCTTATATAAAAATACATAAAAATTTGTTTCAAGGTTCATAGCATACAAATTTGCGTTTTTAACTAGATCTTTTATATGGATTCAGTAAATTTGCATAACTAAATCACCTTTTCTTTAATAGTATAAATCCATTCTGTTGTTACGTTCTTAAATACAATCAGCGCTGAGTATAATTAAATTCACAATTCTTTTCTAAATTAAAAGTGGGTATTGTTACAATGGCAAAATGCAATTTGTAAATTAAACAGCTTCTAGAAACAACAAAAGCAGTAAAGAAACTAGAGTAGGTCTGAATCAATAAAGTTAAATTTGCGAGGCTTCAAGCTGTGATAACAGCTTTTTATAGAGGAGTTTAGCTATTTGTAATTGTAGCTGAAATTTGAAAATTGAACTATTAAAACTACTATTTAGTTTTTAGTTTATTTTCATACAACGTACAAATTTAATGATCGTTTTTATGATATAACAGAATTCTTTAACCATAATTTTAAGAAATTACTTAACAGATAAATATTATAAAATAATATGTCAATACAGCAAGTTTAAAACAGATGGATAAAATAAATAGCATACATAAGGAAAATTTTAATAAGCTTGGTAACTTTATAAATTATTTTGGTTTTCCTTAATTATGTAACAATCACTTGGTAGTAATTGTTAATTTTAAATTCGACTTTAATGAGAGTTAAAATTGAAGTTTGATATAATTCTTGAAAAAAAAAAACTAACTACGTAGGTAGCTAGTCTATATACAGGGTTGTTCACCACATACGACACGGAGTATTGTAGCTAAACGATTAGATTTTTACAAATTGTAAGTTTTGGGTTAAATGGAACACCCTGTATATTATTGCATTTTTAGCTTCTACGATTAAAATAAAAGGTAAATTTGATTAAGGCTTATTACACTTAAACCTTACCGTTTTTGAAATATTTTGAATTTTGTAAAATTGCACTATAAATTTTACGGCTTCATTTCTCCGAGGGTATCAAAAGTTTTAATACTAAATATTTACTGAAGTTTATTTATTGATCAGTTATTGTGTTGCAATAATAAAAATTATACTACCTTATACAGAGTGTCTAAAAATTTATTTTTAATAATTACTAAGCTTTAAACAGCAATAACTTGTTTAATTTAAATGGAATACCCTGTATATTTTATAAAAATCAGATGCACAATTTAATTGTCTATCAAATTGTATTATACAACTTTTACCTATCCCTTCAAGTTTTCGTAGAAAATGCATTTTCTTATAATTTAGACCTCATTTATCAATATACCAATGGAATATTGACATTTTAGATTGTTTTAAAACAACAAATGTACAAAATGTACAGGCTAGTAATATTATCGTTTTAGTAAAACGATGATATTACTAACCCATTTATATAAAAAAAACTATTTAAATCTTTATAAAAGAGTATACCATTAATTAAATATAACACCAGTATTTCCGCCCAAATACTAATTCATTACATATTTAATTGTGTTCGTTAATAAATTATTCTAAATAAATGTGGATTTGAATCAGAAATCAATATAATAATAAGTTATGAAAATGAATGTCTCTGTTGTTATAAATAAGCATTTGTCAAGAAATGAAATATCATTTTTAAGATGTTAGTTTTTTTTTACTACACTGTCTAATACACATAAATAATTAAGTTTTTTAGTATTTGGAGCAATTATTATTAATCAACGCAAACAGTCAATTAATGTAGTTTGAATACTGGAATCATATTAATTGGTTCTCTTTAACAAATATTTAAACAGTTTTTATATTTTTTAATGAAATAAACGAACTATAATGACAATATTAGTATCTGTACTCTTTAAAAATTTGGTACATCTTTAAAAATAATCTAAAATGTCAGTATTGCATGGGTATATTGATAAATGAGTTCTAAATTACAAGAAAAAGGCGTGTAGAGATAGGTAAAAAATCGTATAATACAATTTGATAGACAATTAAATTGTGCATCTAATTCTCATAAAATATACAGGGTGTCCCATTTAAATTAAACAAGTTATTGCCGTTTAAAGCTAATAATTATTTAAAGTAAATATTTAGACACTCGGTATAAGTAAAATTTTTATTATTGCAACACAATAACTGATCAATAAATAAACTTCAGTAAATATTTAGTATTAAAAACTTTGATACCCTCGGAGAAATGAAGCCTTAAAATTTATACTGCAATTTCACAAAATTGAAAATATTTCAAAAACGGTAAGGTTTAAGTGTAATAAACCTTAATCAAATTTACCTTTATTTTAATTGTAGAAACTAAAAATGTAATAATATACACGGTGTTCCATTTAAAAAAATACAACTTTGATATTTTTTATTTATTTGGGACACTCTCTAACTTGTAAAAATATTTTTAAATTGTAGCTCTAATAGTCCTTCAACGAACCCAAAACTTACAATTTGTAAAAATCTAATCGTTTAGCTACAATATTCCGTGTCGTATGTGGTGAACAACCCTGTATAAGGTATTAAAAACATATTGTAAATCTCAAAATAGTTTTAGTAAAATGTTATTTATGAAGAATACATAAAAGTAAATCATACACCCAAAAATTATGAAAAGAATAAAAATAATTTTTGTTCAGAATCTAGTCGAATATATTAGTGTTTCCAATTAGCGTAGAAATGAGTTAATTTAATTTTAATGTAAAAATTCAGAACGTAGAAAAAGTAGTAACGGAATAGTAGAAAAAGTTGACAAACTTAACTTTTTCCTGTACTTTAAATTGAAAATGCTATTGCGCATGCGTGACTAATCTTATTTAGGCCTTTAATTATCAGCTGTCAAGAGAAACTTTTAGAAATTAAAAAGAAAAATATTGTTCTCAAAGCTAATTAATATAGTTTACTCTATGGAGCTACTACTAGGATATTCATTAATTTTAAATGAATTTTGGTAACAATGTGAATGATGGTGAACTTTTAATAATAGAGTATAATAATTGAATTCACTAATTTATTCTACTAAATTAGAGGTTCTGAATAAAGTTCCTTAATTGTGTAGTGCACAATTAAATTTTCAAAATTATAATTTATTGTTTATTAACTTTTCTTCCTAAAATATATTTTTATTTTGTTATTTTCTGTTTTTGACTGCTTCGTTTTAAAAAAGTAAATAATACAATTAAATAATAAATACTGTTTAAAATGTGCCTAATAGATAAAAAATACAATTAAAAAATTTTTGGTTTGAATATAAGATTAAATAATAAAGTCAAAATTAATAAAGTATATACAGAGTGTGTCTTAAATAAGTGCAACTATTTTTAGGAGTGTTTTTATTACTTTTATTAGTATTGTTAGTGCCAATGTTTT